CCTCACCTACCCCCCTGATTTTGAGAAGTTTTGGCAGGCGGCGCGCAGCAACCCCCACGACTTCACTGCCTGGACCGAGCTCCTCCAGTACGTCGAGCAGGAGGTAATTAAAATCTTCATTAAGATACTCTGGGCCTGTTAAAATATTAATTAAAATTCACCCTGATCCCCCCCCCGACCATTAAAACCTTCGTTAAAACTCACCCCAAGTCTCCAGCCCCGTTAAAACCTTCGTTAAAACTCACCCCGAGTCTCCAGCCCCATTAAAATCTTCGTTAAAACTCACCCCAAGTCTCCAGCCCCGTTAAAACCTTCGTTAAAACTCTGCCTGAGCCACCGGCCTCGTTAAAACCCTAATTAAAACTCACCCTGCCATAAACCACATAGAATCCTCCACCGCCCCCAGGGCTCCTTTTCCTCGTCATGGGGGTAATTGCTCCTGTGTAATTATTAACTTCGAATAATAAATGGGTTATTAGAAGACCCCGATATTAAGCTGCTGTTGGGATTGGGGATAAAAATGCCTGGTTTTTACCCCAAAAAAGAACCACCTCTTCGCCGCCCGCAAAGCCTTCGACGCCTTCTTCGCGCACTACCCCTACTGCTACGGCTACTGGAAGAAATATGCCGACATGGAGCGGCGCTTCGACTGCGGCCGGGAGACCGAGGAGGTCTGATGTTTTGGGGTGTCCCCCCATTTTTCCCTCTTTGATGGGCTGACGGGGGTGTTTTGGGGGGTCCCTGTGCTGTTTTGGGGTGTCCCTCCCTAGTTTTCCCCTCTTTGCTGGGCTGACAGGGGTGTTTTGGGGGTCTCTGCGCTGTTTTGGGGTGTCCCTCCCTAGTTTTCCCCTCTTTGCTGGGCTGACAGGGCTGTTTTGGGGGGTCCCTGTGCTGTTTTGGGGCGTCCACCCCCAGGTTTTCCCCTCTTTGATGGGCTGACGGGGGTGTTTTGGGGGTCCCAGTGCTGTTTTGGGGCATCCCCCCCAGGTTTTCCCCTCTTTGGTGGGTGGACGGGGGTGTTTTGGGGGTCCCTGTGCTGTTTTGGGGTGTCCCCCCCCTGTTTTCCCCTCTTTGGTGGGCTGACAGGGCTGTTTTGGGGTGTCCCCCCCAGGTTTTCCCCTCTTTGATGGGCTGAAGGGGTATTTTGTGGGTCCCTGCGCTGTTTTGGGGTGTCCCTGAGCTGTTTTGGGGCGTCCCTCCCCTGTTTTGCCTTCTTTGATGGGCTGACGGGGCTATTTTGGGGTGTCCTCCCCCTCTTTGGTGGGCTGACAGGGCTGTTTTGGGGTGTCCTCCCCAGGTTTTCCCCTCTTTGATGGGCTGACGGGGGTATTTTGGGGGTCCCTGTACTGTTTTGGGGTGTCCCTGTGCTGTTTTGGGGTGTCCCCCCCCAGTTTTCCCCTCTTTGATGGGCTGATGGGAGTGTTTTGGGGGTCCCTGCACTGTTTTGGGGTGTCCCTGTGCTGTTTTGGGGTGTCCCCCCCCAGGTTTTCCCCTCTTTGATGGGCTAACGGGGGTGTTTTGGGGGTCCCTGTGCTGTTTTGGGGTGTCCCCCCCTAGTTTTCCTCTTTGATGGGCTGACGGGGGTATTTTGGGGTGTCCCTGTACTGTTTTGGGGTGTCCCTGTGCTGTTTTGGGGTGTCCCCCCCCTGTTTTGGGGCATCCCCCCCCAGTTTTCCCCTCTTTGATGGGTTGACAGGGCTGTTTTGGGGCATCCCCCCCGCTTTTCCCCTCTTTGATGGGCTGATGGGGGTGTTTTGGGGGTCCCTGCGCTGTTTTGGGGTGTCCCCCCCAGGTTTTCCTCTCTTTGATGGGTTGATGCCGGTGTTTTGGGGTGTCCTCCCCCTGTTTTGGGGCGTCCCCCCCCTGTTTTGCCCTCTTTGATGGGTGGACAGGGGTGTTTTGGGGGTCCCTGCGCTGTTTTGGGGTGTCCCTCCCCGTTTTCCCCTTTTTAATGGGCAGAAGGGGGTATTTTGGGGATCCCTGGGGTGGTTTTGGGGGTCCCTGGGGTGGTTTTGGAGGGTCTTGGGAGTGGTTTTGGGGGTCCCCGGGGTGGTTTTGGGGTCCCTGAGGTGGTTTTGGGTTCCGGGGGTGGTTTTGGGGCTCTCGGGGTAGTTTTGGGGTCCCCAGGGTGGTTTTGGGGGTCTCCAGGCTGTTTTTGAGGGGTTTCCATCCCATTCTACTCCATTTTTGTCGGCAAAATGAGGTTTCCAAACCATTTGAGGGTCTTTTCTCTCCCATTTCCATCCCTGTTGGAGGCGTTTTGGGTTGTTTCACCCCATTTTTTGGCGCGGGGCTGAGTCCCCCGACCCTTTGGGGGTGGTGGGGGGGGGGGGAAAATACCCCGTGGAAAATAATATCTGAGATATTAAAATATCCTGGGGGTAAAATATCCCAGTGGAAAATATCCTGGGGGTAAAATATCCTGGTGGAAAGTACCCCCAGGGCAAAATATCCCGGTGGAAAATATCCTGGGGTAAAATATCTCTGTAGAAAATACTCCTGGGGGCAAAATATCCCGTGGAAAATACCCCCAGGGCAAAATATCCTGTCCCCCCCCAATTTCCAGGTGTTTGAGCGGGGGCTCCAATCCATCCCCCTCAGCATGGACCTGTGGATTCACTACATCTCCTACCTCCAATCCACCCTGGACATGAATCTCCCCGAATCCATCCAAAAAATCCGGGGGTAGGTGACGGGGGGGAGGAGGTTTGGGGGGGGGTCCAGAGGTGGCGTTATATCCCACCCCCCTTTGTTTTTTCCCCCCCCCCACAGTGTTTTCGAGGCGGCGGTGGCGGCGGCGGGGATGGATTTCCGCTCGGATAAACTCTGGGAGCTCTACGTGGAGTGGGAAAGGGAACAGGGGGACCTTCGGGCCGTCACCGGCATCTACGACCGCGTCCTCTCCATGCCCACCCAGCTCTACAACCACCACTGGGAGAAGTGAGTACCCCCCCGGGATGAGAAATGCCCCCCCTGGCACGAGAAATACCCCCAGGTAGAAAAATACCCCGTGGAAAATAATATCTGAGATATTAAAATATCCTGGGGGTAAAATATCCCAGTGGAAAATATCCTGGGGGTAAAATATCCTGGTGGAAAGTACCCCCAGGTGGGAAAATGCCCTGTGGAAAATAGTATCTGAGATGGTAAAATATCCCGGGGGTAAAATATCTCGGTGGAAAATACTCCTGGGGGCAAAATACCCCGTGAAGGATACTCCTGGGGGCAAAATATCCTGGTGGAAAATACCCCCAGGGCAAAATATCCTGGTGGAAAGTACCCCCAGGTGGGAAAATGCCCTGTGGAAAATAGTATCTGAGATGGTAAAATATCCCGGGGGTAAAATATCTCGGTGGAAAATACTCCTGGGGGCAAAATACCCCGTGAAGGATACTCCTGGGGGCAAAATATCCTGGTGGAAAATACCCCCAGGGCAAAATATCCTGGTGGAAAGTACCCCCGGGGTAAGATATCCCATTGGAAAATACCCTGGGGGCAAAATATCCCTCTGGAAAATACTCCTGGGGGTAAAATATCCCTGTGGAAAATATCCTGGGGGTAAAATATCCCCGTGGAAAATACTCCTGCGGGTGAAATACCCCATGGAAAATACTTCTGGGGGCAAAATATTCCATGGAAAATATTCTGGGGGTAAAATATCCCGTGGAAAATACTCCTGGGGGCAAAATATTCCAGTGGAAAATATTCTGGGGGTAAAATATCCCATGGAAAATACCCCCAGGGTAAAATACCCCATGGAAAATATTCCTGGGGGCAAAATATCGCGGTGGAAAATACCCCCAGGTGGGAAAATACCCTATGGAAAATAATATCTGAGATGGTAAAATGTCCCGGGGGTAAAATATCGCAGTGGAAAATACCCCTGAGGGCAAAATACCCCGTGGAAAATACCCCTGAGGGCAAAATATCCTGCTGGAAAGTACCCCCAGGGCAAAATATCCCTGTGGAAAATATCCTGGGGGTAAAATATCCCCGTGGAAAATACTCCTGCGGGTGAAATACCCCATGGAAAATACTTCTGGGGGCAAAATATTCCATGGAAAATATTCTGGGGGTAAAATATCCTGGTGGAAAATACCCCCAGAGTAAGATATCCCATTGGAAAATACCCTGGGGGCAAAATATCCCTGTGGAAAATACTCCTGGGGGTAAAATATTCCGTGGAAAATATCCTGGAGGCAAAATATCCCGTTGGAAAATACCCCCAGGGTAAGATATCCCATTGGAAAATACCCTGGGGGCAAAATATCCCTGTGGAAAATACTCCTGGGGGTAAAATATTCCGTGGAAAATGTCCTGGGGGCAAAATATCCTGGTAGAAAATACCTCCAGGGTAAAATATCCCTGTGGAAAGTACCCCCAGGGCAAAATATCCCCATGGAAAATACTCCTGGGGGCAAAATATCCCGGTGGAAAATACCCCCGAGGGCAAAATACCCCATGGAAATAACATTAGGGGTAGAAAATGCCCCCCCGGGGGCAAAATATCCCCAGGGGAAAGTACCCGGGGGGCAAAATACCCCCCCCAAAAGTGCCCCCGGGGGCAAAACACCTCCGGGGGCAAAATATCCCAGGGGAAATACCCCCTGGGGGCAAAATATCCCGGTTGAAAATACCCCCAGGGCAAAATACCTCATGGAAATAACATTAGAGGTAGTAAAGTACCCCCCAGGGGCAAAATATCCCCAGGGGAAAGTACCCGGGGGGTATTTTGCCCCCCCAAAAGTGCCCCTGGGGGTAAAAATACCCCCCCAAAAGTGTCCCTGGGGGCAAAACACCCCCAGGGGCAAAATATCCTGGGGGAAAATACCACCTGGGGGCAAAATATCTCCAGGGAAAATCCCCCTGGGGGCAAAATATCCCTGGGGAAAATGCCCCCGTGGCTAAAATACCCCCAGGAAGTACCCCCGGGGTAAAATATCTCTGGGGAAAACACCCCTGGGGGCAAAATACCCCTGCAGGAATTACCCCTAGGGGCAAAACACCCCCAAGGGCAAAATATCCCTGCGGAAAATGCTCAGGGGGGGGGCAAAATATCCCAGAAAATACCCCCAGGGAGATTAACTACCCCCCAGAAAATACCCCAGGGGGGTGTTTAGACCCCGATGTCTGTTCCTCCCCCCCCCCAGGTTCAAGGAGCACGTTCTCCACAACCCCCCCAAGGACATTTTGTCCCCAGAGGAACTTCTGTGGGTCCAGTCCAAACTGGCCACCGACCCCGTCCCCAAACCCCCGGAGCCGGAGGGGACGGAAGCGCCGCCGGGGGAGGATCTGCCCCCCGGGGTGGAGGGGAAAGGGGGGGCCTCTGATACCCAGGTAAGCACTTAAATTGAAATTTGGGGGGGTTGTGTGAAGGTTTTGGGGTCTCACCCACCTCCTGATTGATTTCCAGGAGGATTTGGATCAGGAGAAGATCCGGGAGCTGGTGATTTCCATGAGGCAACAAATCTACGCGCAAAACGAGGCGGAAGTCAGCAAACGCTGGAATTTCGAGGATGGGGTAAGTCAAAAGAAGGTGTGAAACCCCCCCAGGATTGAGTTCTTCCCCCACCCTAACGAAACGTTGATGCCACCACCCCCTATTTGAATTTTTTTGGGGTAGATCAAGCGTCCCTATTTCCACGTGAAGCCGCTGGAGCGGGCGCAGCTGCGGAACTGGCGGGATTACCTGGATTACGAGATCGCCGCCGGCTCCCACGAACGCACCATCGTCCTCTTCGAGCGCTGCGTCATCGCCTGCGCCCTCTACGAGGAGTTCTGGATCAAGGTGAGACCCTTCCTCCACCCCTACCCATCTGAGGACCAGCTGGATCCCATCTCCCCCGCCAAAATACTCTTATCGCCCCAAAAAAGCTCATATCGCCCCAAAAAAACTCATATCGCCCCCAAAAAACCTCACCTCCCTCCCAAAAAAACTTCATATCCCCCCAAAAAACCCTCATATCCCCCCAAGAAACCTTACCTCCCTCCTAAAAAAACTCATATCCCCCCCAAAAAACTCAAATCACCCCAAAAAACCTCATATCCCCCCAAGAAACCTTACCTCCCTCCTAAAAAAACTCATATCCCCCCCAAAAAAACTCAAATCCCCCCAAAAAACCTCATATCCCACCAAAAATACTCACCTCCCTCCTAAAACACCTCACCTCCCTCCTAAAAAAACTCATATCCCCCCAAAAAAAACTCAAATCCCCCCAAAAAACCTCATATCCCACCAAAAATACTCACCTCCTCCCTCCTAAAAAACCTCATATCCCCCCAAAAACACCTCATATCCCCCCAAAAGACCCTCATATCCCCCCAAAAAACTCATATTCCCCCAAAAAAACCTCACCTCCCTCCTGAAAAACCTCACCATCCCCCCCCAAAAACTCATATCCCCCAAAAAAACCTCACCTCCCTCCCAAAAAACCTCACCTCCCTCCCAAAAAACCTCACCTCCCTCCTAAAAAACTTCATACCACCCCACCA